CGGGCGTGCGGCGGCGGGTGCTCGAGGCGTACCAGGCGCGCCCGCACGTGGCGTTCGTGGGCAAAGCTGTTTCAGCGACGGCCCCTCTCCATCCGCGACGGCGGCTATTGGTGCCTGACGCGGCCGGCGGTGTCGGCGCCCCCGGCCGCCCCCCAACTAAGCATGTTCTCAGCCTCCCTGCAACCCCAGACCGATGCTGGGCGGACGCGGCCAATATCTGCGCAGCGTACCGCACCAGTGCCGCACGGTCATGACATGATGATGTGTGCCCCGCCCCTGCTTTTGCTCCGACAATCCGCAGGAATTCGTGCCCGTGCAGCCGGCCATCGCCAACTCATACACAGCCATCCTTCACATCGCCCGCACCCTGCCCCACCTCCTCGCCGCCGCCGACGCGGGCGCCGGCGGCGCTGGCGCCGGCGCGGGTGGCGCGGCGCCGTACGCGCGCTGCTGCGCCGGGCCGGCGGCGAGGGGCGTGGGCGCGGCGCTTGCGGCGCAGGTTGCGCGGGACCCCGCTCTGGTGAGTCAACGCTGACTAACTCAGGGGGGCCGGCGGCGCCAGCCTCGGACTCCTCTACAGTTGTCGCGGCTGTCACCACCAGCTGCTGTCGCCCCCGTCTACTACCCTGTCCATCACCACACACAACTCACCTTTCAACCCACCCACCGCTGCTTTTCTTCCTCCCGCTACCCTCCCCCGCAATGCGCCCTGATCTTCCTGGCGTTTGAATCGACGGCCTGACAGCTGGGGCGCATCAAGCGCGACCTGTCGTACCACGCGCGATCTGATGAGCCCTTGGACAGGCGGCAGGCGGCCGTGAATCAGGTGATGGCCCACCCCCTGCATGGTTCTAATCCTGCACCTGCATCTGCAATGGTTCTAATCCTGCACCTGCAATGGTTGTAATCCTGCACCTGCAAGCATAAGTTCAGAATGCAGCTGGATCGCATTCACTTGGCCTGCGAGATGCGGCAGGGGGGACAGCGGCGCTCTCCCGCTGTGGGTGCTCGCGGCGGAAGCGGGCGGGGCGGCCGCGCCGGGCCCCGTGGGCGCTCGGCACTTTGGCGCGTCCCGATCGCCGCCCGCGGGACCGCTGGACGCACGCGGCGCGGCACGGCGCCCCGGCGTGCGCAATCCGTGAGCGGCGGCGCCACCCCAGGGAGCAGACTGACCCGAATGCCCCAAAACTCACTTCAAGCAAAAATGTCCCCGAACGCGCGCGCAGGCGCTGCACGTACTGTCGCGCCGCATGGGGCTGGCCGTGGAGACGCCGCCTGATGCAGATGTGCTGCTTCCCCAATTGAGGGTCGCGATCTTTGTGCAAGGTGCGCGCCTTGCGTCTGCCGTTGGCTCAGATGTGCGTGCTGTTGCGCTTGCGGGGAGCCGGCAAAGTGATGGGTGATTGACTGCCCGTTTTGGAGGGCTTTGGGCGAGCGCCGCGGTGTGTGGTGGGTGCGTATGGCTTCCTTTGACCCTCATCAAAGACGCATGAGCCTGTCCCTCCGCCCACCCACTGGACATCTTCAATTTCAGACGAATCGGACAGCAGCCAGCAGCAGCAGCAGCAGCAGCAGCAGCAGCAGCAGCAGCAGCAGCAGCAGCAGCAGCAGCAGCAACAGCAGCAGCACCAAACCCCTCCATCAACCGGCCCATCAGAGGACGACATAATCCTTGTCGACTGCCAGACGGCGATCGAGGAATTGCTGATGGACCGCTTCTCGCCGCACGACAGATTAGTCAGGCGACAGCTGCCCGGCGCCCGCGCCGCCGCGCGGCGGCGCCTCGGGCGCCGCTGGTGGCGGGTGGTCGCCGTCACGCTGGGGGACCTCGAATCCGGCGGCGGCTGGCTCTGCGCGCCCGCCGAGGACGCGACGCGGCGGTTGCGAGACTTGCGGATCTTAGAGGGGAGGCGGGAGCGGATTGAGGGGCTGCTCCGGTCCCGGCTGGGGATGGATGGGCCGCGGCGGTAGGCCGATGGGGGATTAGTCGGGCCGTCCGACAACCTGCTGACAAGCGGGCTTTGCTTGTAACCAAGCGGTTGCTGGTTGGTATCGAGAAAAACCTGGGGCAGAACTCAGGTGGATCCCTAGTGTGGCACAGCCATGTGCACGATTTGCAAAGGGGCAGCAGCAGCTGACGCCCTGCTGACGGTGCACCTGCAAGCCGTGCACGACTTCGCGAAATGTACGACAATCTAGCTTTGAATTTGCCGCAACGTTTAAGCACCAATTATCGTGAAGCCTTCCCCCGCGCCTAGCTGAAACCCAGCCGCGGCTCCATCATGGACCCCGCACGCGCGGCCTGAGAGGTCGTCGACCGAAAACTCCTGAAGAATAATTACAATCGAAGACCTGAACAAGACCACGTCCTGCAGCCGCACACGCTCCACTGCTACTGAGCTACCGCTGGAAACCGCCGCGCAGCAAAAACCGCCGCAGCCACCATGGGCGCCGCGTGCTCCTGCATGGCCCCTGTGCCCGACCTCGACAGATGCGGCGCGCCCGCGCACCCCAAGGCACACAGCCTGGACGCCGCGGAGCCCGTCGACTTCTCGGCGCTGCTCGGCGCAAAGCCGCCGCCGCCCGCGGGCGCCGCCGCCGCACCTGCTGCGCATGAGAAGCTGCCGCGGCAGGCGAGCGGCACGCTCGGCGGGTCGATTGCCGCGGGGCGGCCCGGAGAAGACTTTGAGGGCGAGGACGAATCCGAGCAGGTGCGGCGCCCACTGCAGAGGAGGATCTGCGGGCAGAGGATGCATGGGGATGGCTGCCCGGGGAATTGGGTGGGATGGGGCGGGGCCCAGCGCAGGCGCCGCGCACGTCAACCACCTCGTCGGCGAGAGCAAGCCGCTGCGGCGTGCCGCAACCGCCTGCCAGGTGCCCCTGCACTGGCCCCCCTGCTCGTCTGGCTCCCCGCCGCGGCGCAGCCCCGTCCGCCCAACGATTTCATCCATCGAAACCCCCGCCTCACCTCCCCCCCTCGCGTAACACGCTCGATCGCAGGGGCCCGTCTGCCTGGCGCGCCTCAGGCTGAGCACCTACCTCGGATCCGAGGATACCAACGACCAGGTCACCCCCGCCGCTGCCTCGGACCCCGCTGGTGCCCAAAGGGCGCCTGGCGACGCGCTTGTGCAAGGGCATGGTGCAGAAGAGGCCCGAGCACCGGTGGATAATGAGGCGGCCGAGGTCAAAGAGGCAGCAGGATGCCAAGGGCAGGAGAGTCGGTTGGGGCGGCAGCAAGAGCCGCTGGCAGCTGCCCCGTCACAGCAGCAGGCGCAGGCGCAGCAGCAGGCACAGCAGCAGCAGCAGCAGCAGCAGCAGCAGCAGCAGCAGCAGCAGCAGCAGCAGCAGCAGCAGCAGCAGCAGCAGCAGCAGCAGCGACAACAACAGCAACAGCAGCAGGAGCAGCAGCAGGAGCAGCAGCAGGAGCAGCAGCAGGAGCAGCAGCAGCAGGCGCAGCAGCAGGCACAGCAGCAGCAGGCGCAGCAGCAGGCGCAGCAGCAGCAGGAGCAGCAGCAGCAGGAGCAGGTGCTCCTGACGCCCCAGCCTGACGCTGACGTGGCGTCTGCCAACAAGGCTGTCGACCCCAGGCCTGCGCAGACAGCACCGCCGCCCCCGCCACCCCCCCTGCCCTCCGCCTCAAA